TTCGAGGATGCTTATAAAAAGGGCCCCTAATTTATACAAAATCCTCAGGAATGATAAAGATGATATAAGGTCAGAAGAGAAAGCAGGGGTTTATAAAATTCCGTATGAGAACATGCAATTGGGCGTTAAAAAAGACTACATTGGAGTAACCACTAGAAGTTTAGGGCTTAGAATCAAGGAACATAGTTATAATATCAGAAAGGGGTCTAATGCAACAATTTTGTCCCAAATGGCACAAGCACCAGGAGCTATAGTCAAATGGAATGAGGCGACCATCATAAATCCTTTATCTTCTCCATCTTTGGCGTTAACAGCGGAAAAGTTGCAGATTTATAGGAGTAGATTACAAGAAGGCTGTCTGAATGCGAGGGACGCAGAAAGTCTTCCCTCTGCATGGAAGTTTATGGTTAAGAAGTTTAATAAGGGCTCTAACCAATCAATATAGTAGTTTTATTGAATGTCTTAGTAATTGCATTTATTAATACTTATATATTCATTTGTTGCATTTTTATATATTTTTTATATTTTATTTTTGTTGTATGTTGGTTATTTAATATTTTATTTTAATTGTACCTTATTTAATTTTGAATTTAAATTTTGTATTCCATTGATGGAATTCTAATTCAAATGTATTCTAAACCTGAAGATGGCCTGTGAATCAGGCTGAAAACGTTAGTTTGTTCAAATAAATTATATTTCTCGGCAAGAATAAGGTGTTAAGTATTTCTATATGTATAATGATTTGCTGAGTACTTTATGATATTACAGTAGTATTGCCAGACAGTCTTCTGAGTGTCTGGCGGCGAACACACACTTTAGTAGACAGGGCTGTATTAAATATGCCCTGTTGGATGTACTATAGTAAAACTTTTAATATGTAAAAATAATGTCAACAATTTTACCACCATAAGTAAAAATATCGCTGAAAGACATTCCACTATATAACATATCTTTAGTCTCTAAAATTAGTACAGTGTCATCAGACTCTTTTTCTGTAGTAAATAGGCGAATTATATTGTCTTTTTTATTTAGTATGTCTTTTTAAAGTTAGACTCGCCTTAGCAGAAAATATGAATAAATTAATGTACTTAAATGTATTTTACATAGATGCTTGATTTTATATCGAGCGTGACATCAGGATGAAGTTATCTAAACATTCGAGAAGAAATTAAATTAGGTGATACAGTGGAATCCGGTTATTATAATAACGATATCAATGACTATTATTATCATAATCAAACTTTGCGGAAAATGGATCATATATTTATAATCGTACCCTCGAAAACTCCTAAAAACATCTTTTATGCTCTCTAAAAAGTTATCAGCGATGACTTTTTATCAAGAAATTTTGCTATTCGAATGCCATCATCTCACTGATCAAGAGGGATGAAACATTCGAATAGAAATGGACAGAAAGACGAAATGGCTTCTTGAGGGCAAGAATTAAAGTTAATTCGACTAAAAATAGTCGTCAATCTTTTCCAGATGAGAAGATGGTCCCTGAAAAGTTTCGTTGTATTTGATCAAACCGTATTAAAATGTATAAAGGACAAACTAACAAACATTCTTCTTCTTTTATATAGAATGTGAGATAGAGATTTATATACTTTAAAATGATAATATGATCTATAATACGAGAATAAACATTAAAGAAAGAGCATAAAATTAGAGTAGTACAGGTATTATTTTACTTATTAGCGATATATTTTCCTTCGGTAGAGGGAGTTTTTCACATGTCAACAGTCTAGCCGCTCTGTAATTAACAGTACTCTTTGGCGGTATTTTTTGAATTTAGATTAATACTTTTGAGTGTAAAAAGTCTCGATTTTCTTAAACAATTATAGTAAGTTTTTTAGGGATTACATACAAAACATATATCTAAGTTTGATATTTATCTATGTTAATTAATAATAATAATTATACGAATATTGAAGTTGTATTAATTTTATCGTAACATGTTTATTATGATGCAGTAATTATAATCATCATTGTAATATTGATTATAATTATAGTGTTATATTGATGTAATATTCAAATAATTTCCATATTCATAATGTTTTCTTTAATGATCTTTTGGTCATTGAAGCAATAATTTGACAGGATTAAAGTGATGTCAAATCTTTAATATTCTGTATGTACTTTAAAAAAACAAGTTCCAAAAGTATGCTTCTTATAGCATTTGGAAACTGATGATGGCAAAATAAATTAACCACAAAGATTCCTTTTATACTGTTTGTTATCAATCTCCAAATGTTTATCTACTGGATGAAGAATCGTGAATAGAAATTACATATGGTAAAGTTCTACTTTTTATATCTTGTTCATCAGTAAGAAATGAATCTTTAAAGCACATTTAGAAAAATAAATACAACTCCAAAATAATTTGTTTTATGAAGTTTCAAATATAGGCCTATATGATTAAATTGTCATTTATAAATACTGTATATTCATTGCCACTAATAACAGCTTCTGGTTAAAGAATTTAGAAATGATGCAAATAATGTCTTAAATTTTTTATTTGTCCCTAAATAAAAACTTTATTTACATTCACTTTGGAAGTGATTGGTGACACAAAATATTAGAGGCTTATCAAATGATGAACAGCAGAGTGCATATATTCTTGTGATAACAGCACCAATCTGTTATTCTGCAGGAGCTGAATTCAAAATTTTCACAGATTATATTTTGGACCTGCCTCACCAGTTGGGTGTCTCATTGCTAAGCTAGTTGAATCTATGATGGATATGGAAAAAGGTCTACAAAAGTGGAAACAGTTTAAAAAAGCTCTGGAAGCCATGGCTTTCGGCTATCTATTTTTTAAAAAGGCACTAGCCTGTTTTTGTGAAAAATGAAAATTTTGATCTTGATTCTAATTTTGATTAGTTAAATTAATTTAGACATTAATCAGATTTCTGGTTGTATCTAATGGAAAATTAATTAGGATTTAATTACATTAATGTCTGTTGAGAGGATGAGAAAAATATGACCACTTAACTGGGTAATCAGTTATCAAAGTTTGATTGTATTTACATATAAAATTTTAAAAATGTTAGATTATTTTTTAAAATGTTAGTTTTTTAAATTTAACTTAATCATAACTTTATGCATTTTTTGTTTTTATGTTTTTAGATAATTATCCTAATTTATTTTAGTGTTTAAGTAAATTTTAATTATATTTAATTATAATTTAAATAGAAATATGAAATAAAACTAATTTTTAATTACCAGAGCAGAAAATGGATAAAAAGCTAGTTCAATTTAGACTGGTGGAGAATTAGAAAACTTTCTTGATAATGTGAAAGAAGTACTGTACCAGTAAATATAAAACTAATTTATTCTATGAATAACTGATAAGGTAGTTAATATAGTAGCTTATTATAGTAACTGAATTAGAAAGTTTTTAATATTGTAATTTTATAATTATTATTTTTTAAGTGTTAAAATGCATTTAATAAGAGATTAGGAAACTTATAACATTACTTAAATCTAAGAAATAAATTTTATTTTTTTATTGAAAGGATATTATAGTATGTAGTACTGAAGTTTATGATATGTAATGTCTCTTTTGAAAAACACTATTGAAAAATTCACATTTCTTGGAAATATAAAATTTGATTAAACATAATAACAATTAAGTTTGAATATATAATAATCAAGTTTAAATATTTAAAATTTTAGTTGATATTTTAGTTCAGTATAATCTGAATTTTGAAATTTATATTACAATCAGTTAGTACATTGAAATAAAATTTAAAGAATAAGACAAATGTGATAATACAATGCAATTGAAAAGTTGCTCTGCAGTAGGAGCTTCCAGAAACAAAGTAATGACATCACAAGCCTGTTGAAAGAGTTAAAGTAAATTATGACATTACACTTGGCTGAACCACATGGGTTTGCTCGCTACTGAGTGACTTTACAATCACACTGCATAAATAAATGTTTATAAATTGAACATGTTTAATATATATATGAAAAGAACATTTTCAATTAAACTATTACAGAAATATAAGTTTTAAAAATATCAAAATATTTTTTTTAGTGTTACATAATTTATGAGAATCAGACTGAGTTTGATACAAAAAGGAAGCCTATTTAGTATTAAAAAAGAACTATAATTGATTACTGAATGTTTAAGTCTTTTAGCAAGTGAAAGTCGCTATGGTAGAATTGATGTGACTAATACTATGAGATGCATTTGCACAGAATTGATTCTGGAAGAAAATAATCAACCTGTAGCAGAACTTGAATCTGCAACTCCCCACTTACCATGTGGATGCGTTATTTTTCTCCCAAACATAGCTTTGTGTCATAGGACAGATAGGGGTTTTCAATGGGTTCTCTTATCGACAGGAACAAAACTCTTGTTAGAAAGAAGAGCATAACTATAGTACTCAGATAGTTATGATGTTTTTCCGTAGCATTTATAGATACAGTCATTTTGCCTTGTATCAAACATTTCTGTAGGTACAGTAAATTAAAAATTAGTTTTTCACAGCTTAAGTATTGAAATTTGTTTGTATTGATTAGATTTAAGTTAGATGTAATAGTAAGTTTTCCAAAAAATGATCCTAACTCAATTTTGAAAAATATATTTAATATTACAATCTACATATTAAAAAAAATATCCTGTCTTTGATGTTTGTAATATGTGTTAAACATTTATTATCATTTAGAAAATTTTATAGAAATAATTGAATTATAAGTTAAATGGTAGTTTTCAAAGATATTTGCATGAATCAGAAATGTGTTTACAATATATACACTATATATAATATTACAATTGCCGTTTAAAATTATTATTATTATTTTTTTATTTTGGGCACTATGAAAATGATATGAACACAAAAAATAAAGAAAAAAAAGGAAGAAATAATTTTAAAATGCAATTATATGAACACATCCATATAGTAAGACAAAAAATAGAATGAACAACAATACAGGAAGGGAAATACACCAATCATGGAACAGAATCATAGAGGAGATGTATTTATGAATCAAAAAACTAATTTCTATTTTACTTTATTGTCGGAAATTTTTATAACTTGTAATAATTTTATAATTTGTTTTAGAAATTATTGGTCGTAAACCTGCTGATGAGGAACCAACAGGTCCAAAACACAATGATATCATGTAACATGTGTTCAGGTGAAAAATAAAGACAGTTTTTTCAAGACCAGTTTTTCATTATATTGGTAAATTTTTATTCACTTCAAAATTTACTTTTTCAGTACTGTTTTAAAATGTATGCAATATTTATTCATTACCTTTCTTGCCTTTTGACTTCAGTTTACATAGTATTTAATTTATGAAAAACTTAATACTGTACGTAGTCTAAATTAATCTAGAAAATGACTACATTATTGAGTAGAGTTTTTTCTATAATTTATAGGTAATATATTTTTACATTTTATTCTATTTATAGTCATATCAATTGCTTTTAGTTTATATCTGCTTGTTCATTTTTATGCAATGTATTCTATTTGAACATTTGTAGATGTTCCTACTGATAACTCAACTGGAGTACTTGTTATTTTTAGTTTTTTTTTCAGCTTTTATAATTTTCTACACTAAAAAACTATATATTTTTAATTTCATTTTATCTATAGCTCAGGAGGTTGTATTCCGCAGAGCCTTAGGGTTTCGCCAATAACAATTTCAGGTTTCACAATAAAATCCATTGAGTCTAGTGATGTATGAATGTGCCAATACAGATTTGGGACATGAGGTGTAATTGTTCTAGTCTCAGATTGAGTCCTTACATGACGATACAAGGACTCAATCCGAGACTATAAAAATGTGCTAAAGTTATTTACAGTTTTATAAATAGTGGAGACCAATTTATTGGCCACGGAACAAACCAAAATCATAATATATGACAAAGTAATGGAAACCATAAAAACAGTAACATATACGTTGTCACCACTGCACACAAATAACGTAAATTTTAAAATAAATTTGATTTACAATTTGAAAATTTCAAAACAACTTTTAAATGGTTTTGAAAAACATTGTTTTAATTTTCAATTGATTTGATTTTATTTAATTGTAGTTTTACTTTTGGTTTCAGTTTTGATGCAAATGACTACCTAGTATGCTTTAAATTAATTCATTTATATCTGCGACATTTGTTATTGTTAGAGTTCCAACATTTTTTATTAAGGAGAAAAGGGTTCTGTGATAAAAATAAGTTGGAACCTCTGCTATAGATTATGCTAGTTATCATAAATGCAAAATTCCTTGATCCAAAACAAATATATTTATATTTGTTTTGGATCAAGGAATAATGTAAGTAGCATAAATAAATTCGAATCTACTTTACAGGTTGTGTGTCTTAGATTTTGATAGCAAATTTGTATTGCAATAGTGTTTTAATGAGGGATTTATCAAAGTAACAGGTTGTGATGAAAAACAACTCTCACTGGTTTCAGATGTGTTTGATCTTTTTGCGAGAACAAGATAAAGTTATTTATTTCTATGATAAGAACATTGTTGGTAGCATTAATAAATGAACATTTAATAAAAAGATTTTAGGAAGTTTTTAAGGATAGATTTACTTTCTAGTTTATGAAGTTCTTTAGAGAGGATTTTGTCAATGTGTTGGTACAATTAGGATATATTCAATACCAACAGCTATGGCACTCTGGTATAGCTACACATTAAAAGATACAATACAGGAATGTTGATTAAAGAGAAGTTAGGTTGAGAATAATTGAATAAAATATTTGTAAATAATTATTCTGTTTAAACTTTTAATTCTAAAAAATATTTACATTCACTTTAAAATTTATTAGTAGAATTTTGATTTTTGGGCAGTTTTAACCATGGAAAGAGATAAGTGAATAGGCTGTTAATATCCTAATTTCAGGCAGTAAAATTGCGAAAATAGGTTCCTGCAATATGAATTTTTATTCGTGTTGACATACTCAGTACATAACAATGAGCTGTTTCATACATTCAGCTATTTTATTGACATTTTTTGTGTCTAACATGCTTTTGTAAACTAAAAATGAGCATTCAACACCATGACTGGAGCAAATTTAAGATTTGAGAAAAGTTCAATGGGCACAGAAAATATATTTTTTTCATGATTAATTTTTTACATTTATGCTTAAATCAATTTTGTTGAATTTATTATTTGACTGAAAAGTACTAAATAATACAATTTTTATTTAGATATATATTTAGGTTAAATTTTATAACAAATTTGCATAAATAAAATAAATTTTTAATACAAATTTTATTTATGCAAATTAATTTATATATATATATATATACTANTGCCAGAGAAAGATAGGAAATGGGTTTTTTCCATTTCTTTATTTAATGCATATTAGATTAACTAATTAATTTAATTGCCCTCTCCGGATTTTCACAAATATTTTCGAAAATTCTTGATTGCCTTTCATCAATCTGTGTAATGTAAAGTTTGGATACAGGAGAACCAGATATAAGAGGGCACGATACGATATTATGAACTGTTCCATGTCTCAGTTCTCTTATATTTATTTATAAAGTTGTATGTGTTTATAAAGGTATATTTTATATAAAAATAAAAACTAACAATTTATTTAAAGAAATTAATATGCATTCGTAGGATTGGAGTAATGAAGTAAGTTCTAAAAACATTATAAAAAATTCAAGTAAAATATACTTTTATACTAAGGTTTCATTTTTATTCTATATTTTTATATTTATTAGCTTATTATTGAAAATATTTTAACAGAATAAAATTTTGTTGTAACTATAATTATTTTTAACGTATTTTGATGTTACTAAAAAATATTTATATTTATCACTAAAACGTTAAAGTAATATCGTAATAAATTGCTGTTTTTTTATTCTCCGATAAAATTTTTGTATTATAACGTTCCATTCGATTGTATTTAAATAAATCCAAATATTATACACCAGAAATGCATATTTATAATAAGGAACAATTTTTTATTTATTTTTTATCACTTTAGCACACGTATGAAGAATATGAAGTATGTGTTTTATTTAACCATTAAAAATAATTGAAAATTTTTGTTATATAATTGATGTTTTTTTCTATATTTTTCTTTTTCTTGTTGTTTATTATTCCATAATAATGTAGCCTAGTCATTTTTAAACTAATTATTAAAACGTAAAATTTCTTTATATTATTGATAACATGTTTCTGACAATGATTCACACTTCATGAATAAATTGTTAAGTCAAATATACAAGTGGTATATGTTTTGAACAGCTATTTGTAATTTGCTGTAAACTGCATTTATCTTACCACAGCTTTCAAATCAAAAGCTGACTGAAATTTTATTAAACCACTACGTACAGTACAGACACGGTCGATAAAGTTGTCGCCTCGTAGATCGATTTGCGCAGCTCGGAACAGTTCATTTAATACGCAAGGTAGCTCTATCTGTTATCAAAGGCGTAGGAAGTGGACTAGCCTGAATTTGGGCCTTAATAGGGGTGAGGAAATCGAGGCTGAGGGACTTAAGCCCGCCGTCAAGCGTGATACAAGTTGACAAGACTAATTGACCATCGCTTGTTTAATACTGCGTGCGTAGCGTCGGCTGTTTTTATTTTAAAATTTTAAATTTGCCGCCACTGATTATCAGAAATTATGATTCTATCTTTTATTTTCATACTTTTGTTTCTTTATAACGTTTTATTTACTTTATTTTCCTGTAATTAGAGACGATACAGCTTTAAAATAAACAGATTAGGTTTCATTTGCCAATAGATTATCTCAACTTTCACCGATTGTCGTCGGTTCCTTTGTAATCGGATAGGAATTGCCCGTCTTTCAAAGTCCAGTGTTAAATGTTTATTGCTTTTGCGGTAATCCGAGTAGAGCGGGGGAGTAACTTAATGAACCTCCAAGTGTTTATTACTGTTTAAACAACTGCTTCCCGCTTGTTATTCTTAGTAACACGATAGGGGTAGCTCGTATTTCTCAGTCCAGTGTTAAGTATTTATTGATTTTGCGGTAATGTGAGTAGAGCAGGAGAAGTCAATTCACTTCTATAATAAACCGACAATCGTTTTATTACCATTTAAACAACTGCCCCCCCCCAGTTGTTATTTTTAGTAACCCGAGAAGGGTAGATATCTGTCAAGGTCAGTGAAAGTTTTACTTTCGCAACAGGAAATGTGAGCTGCCACCCACTCCCACCGCTAATAACAACAACGTGCTAAGTATCTTATTACTATGTAAACAAAAGCTACGCTTTATGTAGGGCGTGGCCAACAAGAATGTCCAATTAAGTAGAACACAGTGCGGCTAACATCTTTTAACAAATTACTTGCATCCTTTATTTCTAGAGAATTTACAATAAAAGAGAGAAAATTAAAATAAATATGAAATTTTAGAGGACCATCTATCGACATAAATCGAATTTAAACCTCCCGCCATCATCTGATTGGTTAAAAAAATTAATATTCCTAATTGGTCCGCGTCAGAAAAAAGTAGGCGTGACTTCACGCTATTGCGCGCGAGCCCTCCGATGCAATCCGGAAAGCCGACAGTCTACCTATATTCACATCCATTTAGTTTCATCTAATTACACCTAAAATGTAAAAAAATCTATCAATAAATTAACTTGCTAATAAAGAAACTACTTGCTAATTGAACTTTGTATTCTTTCACTTTGTTTTACGTAAAATAGCACTAAATCGGTAGACATGTCTAACACGCTTATAAACATGAAAAAACATAAATGTTTCGAAATTATGACTAGATAATTATATGCACAAATAAATTAGTAAGCCTATAATACATACATTCATTTATATCCAAAGATTGTATCCAAAAATAAATATTTTTTCACCTTTTCTTCTATAGAGTAGCAAATTCTAAATTCACAGTAAACTTTCCACCTTTTATCCATTAAAAACAATGCAAAATATATCCATCACGTAATAAAAATCCGAAAGAAAACGAGAACATACACACAACAAACCTCACTTTACGAAATCTGGCGCGAAATGACGTCTCTGGGATAAGTCGAGATGGTTGTAATGTCACGTGAATTGAAACTTTCCTGCTAAACACTAAAAATTTTATAAAATTTTTTAATTAATTCAGTNTTACTGTATATATATATATGGACAAAATTGATTTGAATTAGCATAGGTAAAAATTAGTGAGTGTCTTGTATTTTGAAATTTTCAATCAGAATTTTTTTCAATCAGAAAAGCATAGAGTACCGATGATGTAATAATTTAAGAAAGCATTATTTCATTTGTGAGACTATGTATTATTTAGGTAGGAAATTTTGTATTTTGATTTTCTTGTAATATTATTTAATATTTTTCCTCTGTATCAAATTAACAGATTTAATACAATAAGTTTGTATTAAATCTTTCATCTATGGATATATGTTTAAACAAATTCATTATTTATTTTTTTGAGGGAAAGAAAGAAGGGTTTGTATCCTGTTGGATCAGAGCAAAATTTGATGATTTAAAAGTGAGTAGATTTTGATTCACTTGGTGAGACAATTTCGGAGTACTTCATTTCAAGGAAGAGAACTACAGTAGAGCATCGATTATTCGATTCCCAATTAACGCGGTCAGTTAACCGTCACCTCGGTTAACTGACTGCGTTCTAGTTGGCAAATTCAAATGTCCGCTAATGATGTGGTGCTACAATATTTAGCTATGTCTTGGCTACTTTAATATTATTTTTACATGTTTTAGCTGGCAACACTGGCTCGACCATGAAAGGGAGCTAGTATTTAAACGAGGCTTAATTTTCTAATTTTTAATGATACAGTAGTGACAATTATTATTTTTAAAAAATTTTTGTTAGGCTTAACATTGATGAAAATTCAACACAAAGTAGGTTAATAGCAATATACTAATTACATGGGATATAATAATATACTACACTAATAATGGATTTTTTCATACTTTTCGGTTATCTGACTTTTCAATTATCCGACCAACCCCAGTCCCCAATTGAGTCAGATAATCGATGCTCTACTGTATTTTGAATTATAAGAAATTCACTTGAATGTTGGTTCAATGAGGATTCACTTAATAGCTCTGCAATGACTTCTTTCAATATTCTACTTTCTTAATTCTTAACATTTTTCAAACTTACTTTCTTTGTTAAGATGAACAATATTTTTAATAATGGACAATTCGTTTTCTGATAAAATAAGACTCTTTACAACCCATAATTAGTGCAAAGTACAACTAAGCAATAAAAAACAAACATTTTCATAACCCCTTCTGGGTTCTTCCTCGGGTTTTCTTAATTTTCATTTTCTCATTGTTTGGTTTGAAATTTGAAATGTTGAAACTTTATACAGTGTAGCCTAGGCTTGTATTTTTTTCTGAAGATACACTTTTTATTAATTTCTCAATACTATTTCTTCATATATATTATTTTACGTAAACATCACCAAACCCGATATCCAATATAGTAAGACACCAACCGAATGCCGTAAATCGTTCTAAATTATTTAAATTAATTAATTAATTTATAATTATTAATATTAATAAGAGATGGCGCCTAACGCTTACCTCTAGTGCCAAATTAATTACGTAATTTATTTAGGATATTTTACGTATTTTTTTTTTTTTTTAAGTCTGATTACTGATTAATCTTTAATGAACTAGCCTGTAAGTTAAGTCTTGTATTATATAATTTTTAGATTGATAACATTTTAATTTTCATCTAATATGACATCTGTTGTTTGATCAAAAAGACAATTTTCTGTCTGTAAGTTTTCCACTTGCCAACTTCACAAATTCTATTGAGCAATGAATAATATTTGTAAAATATTAAAATATGTTAAAAAAATTAAAACTTTTATTATTTTAATTTCAAAGATTTTATATTCATATTGTTTAAAGATTCTATTTATATTCTTCTATTTACATTTTTTGTTAAAGAAATAAAAATTACATAATTTTAATAGGTTCAAATTAAAGTACACATGAATCATCAACCAGGTTCACTTGGAGCATTATGCTTGGAATTACTGGGAACTCTTAGAAGAGTTTTAATTAACACAACAGTCAGATATTAGATTATTGTATGAGGTAAACAATTACTATGTAAGGCCTAATTTACATAATTTATTTTTAACCCATTCAAGATTCATATTATAGTAAGACCCTGCTTAACACGGAGGATGTGTTCCAGGTGACAAAGCACTAAACAAAACAGCGTTAAAAGATGTCATTATAACATAGAGTAAATAGGAAAAGGGAAACAGGCGACCAAAATTAAACAGATTTTACTTTAATTATAAGTTATTTTTATATTACTTTGCGTAATAATATATGTTAAATAACACACAAACATATTGAAACAGAAATATGAAGTTCATTTTTTGTGATGAAGATCCTGGCTCCTCTGAAATTCTTGCTTTTTGCCATAAAGTCATGCAGCTTCATTTGTTGCTTTTTTTTCTTTCCTGAAGCAAATGTTGGTAGCAGAAGATTGCATCCAAAATGCCTTGTTTTGCTTTTGCACTCCTTTCAAAATCTGGACTATTCGCTACAATTTGACGAACGATTTTTGTCATCATTACCAAACTTTTATTAAGGAAATCTGTAGCGAAATTCTTTGGGTACTTCATTTTCAGAATTTCTATTTTCCATTTCTACATGCATTCCTTGTTCTGCTAGTTTTTGAAGGTTGTCTTTGGTAAGGCTCTCACCAGAAACCTGCAGTAACTTGTCAATATCCTGCTTGTCTACATCTCCTAGTCCTGTTGTATCAATTAGGCTCTTCTTGTTGAGAATTCTTGGATACCTTCAGCCATAACTTCTTCCACACTTCATTTATGCATTTATCACTTAATTCTTGCCAAGCAAAGTTGATATTGCCTATGGCATGATGTTACATTTTTTCCAAAATTGCATTATAGATGTAAGAAAAGTACAGCACTATGACTAATTGCCACCTTTTTGCTGATTGGTTTTTGTTTGGGAATAATCAATGAAATGCTCCAATAATTTGAATCATCGTAAATTTTGAGCTTTTTTTAGGCTTCGAGTAGACCGCATTATATTGAATCAGTGTTAATTTAGGCAGTGTTAAGTGGGGTCTTACTGTATTGTAAAATTTCTTAAATTTTAATTTATTATAAGCAAAAATCATAAAATTTGTAAATATATCATTCTTGAATAANCGAAATATAATATTTACACATGAAAATATTCATATAATTCGATATTAGAAATTATTATTTTTCGATATTTGAAATAATGGCATGACAACAATATTAGATATGGGAAATACGGGCCATAAACATTTCTTTCTGTCAAATAAATTAGAAATTAAATAGTTTTATTTAGGAATATTCAATCGCGAATAAGTCAGGTGAAAGGTAAACAGTTTAAGTAGGCCTATGCTCTTTATGTGAGAGTGTGCTGCGTTTACAAATTAACAGAATTTTCAGTTTTTTATACACATTATTATGCTACAATCTAGGAAACTTTGTTTAATACATACTACACAAAGGGTAATAAAGGAACGCCAGTCATTGTAAATAATGTATTATTGAAAGTTTTATTCATATAGATAATTAATTTTATCAAGAAACATTTCTCCAGAAGAAAATTGTCGATATTTCGCACAAGTATAAGTAAATTTTATTATAATTTAGATAAAAACACATTTTTTTACCACGCATCGCTTCTTCCCACCCCCGTCTTAATACATTCCATTTCATAATTTGATGTAATAATGTTTAAACTGACTTCTAAATAAAATAATAATACTTAAAGTAGGTTAATATATATTGTCATGGGGTTCAGGTGTATTCATACTTTGTCACATGCTACTTTACTTAAAATTGTAAATTTTCAAATATATCTAAGCGACCAATCTGACAGCAAGTTAAATTAACCCATTTTACTCTATTTCCATTCAGGATTTTTAATTTTAATGTAAATAAACATAAAACTGAAAAAAAACGAAAGAAATGAGTTAATTCTGAGGAGAAAGTTTATTTTCCATTGTTTCGCCTTTCTGCGAATTCTGTCCCGAGACGACACCAGTTGTTCTCAAGGACATCCATCTGTAAACACAATTACTCATCGGTGTCAATCTCACAGAAGTCTCCAAGGATATAAAGTAGAATGAATACTAGCTGGCCGTATATTTCTAAACATTTTTGAAAAATTGCGTTTTTTATTGCGATTTCCGACTCCCCCGACTTAATTAAACGTATATACAGGCATACCTCGACTTACGTCGTTTCGAGTTACGTTGTTCCCGATTATACGTCGTTTGTCAAAAAAGTATATGGAAAAATAAAAAAGTTTTAAGTCATTTTATTCGACTTTATGTCTGTCCGCCATAAATATTGAAGTCGTAATTCACTAGAAAAGCGTTTAAAGCACATAAAATCATATTAAAATACAGTATATACATTTACAAGTATGTACTGTATTTACAGTACATGCATTCGTAAATTTAGATTACTTTTTTCTGTACTATATCAAAAACTAAAATTTATTTGTTTGTAACCTTAAAATAGATCCTTATTAACTATATATTGTTAAGAATACATTAATAAATAAAATACAGAACCGGGAATGGTAATTTATGGTTTAGCCTAGTGACAAGCAGATTCGGAGACAAGTAAATTCGACTTACTTTTTTACAGTAATACCTCGACTTACGCTACTCCGACTTAAGCGAACCCGGAGTTACGCGATTTTCAAATCTCGTCGATTCGTCTTTTGTTTGAGCGCCACGCAACCCTTGATTACTCACTTCCCCCCACACTATTGTTCAGCTTGCATGTTCGGATGTGTCGCGCGGAATCGACACATAGCTACAATTTATCTTGTGTTATTTATTTCTGTGTTTGTTATATCTACGGAGACTTGAGAGACTTTACTATGTCATCCAAACGAAGTAGAACTAATTCTTCTGAATCAAACAAGAAAAGATAAAGTTTATCTTTGGAATGTAAAGTTAACATTGGGTATGTTCGTAAAGTCGAACGAGTTAAACGAGAATGACGTCATCGTTATTCCTATTTCGTTAGACTTNAATTAAAAAACTATTGGAGGTCGTTTTTGACACGAGAAAGTAGCTTTAATTAACTTTACCAAAGCACTAGAACTTTAGAACGATGAATGAAGTTTGATTTTTAAAAAAATCCCGTAAAAAACAATTAAGCGTTAATCGTCATTAAAGGTTGATTATAATCGCGATAAAATTTTTTCGCGCGGGAAAAAATTTTATAAAAAAATTGAGAATTAAAAAACATCCGAAAATCAAAAAAAAACCTATGTAACCTGCACGAGAAAAACTCGAGCGTGAGTAATGTCAAGTAACAGTTATAATAACGTTGCACAATTAAACGTTATAATAGTTTTCGTGACTTAGAAAAACACAAAGTTTAGAAATGACTATTTACATTTATTATCAAATATCATTAATATATTTACAAAAGCTATTTACAATGCATTTTACAAAAACTTATTTACAAAATGTATGACCAGTTAAATATCGCAGATGGACGGGAGAGGGTCAGTAGTCCGTCCACATCCCGGCGTTGTCCACGACCTGATTCAGTCGTTTAGGCATACTCGCCACAAGATTTTGGCAGAGTACGCCCTCACGAAACTTTTCCCAACGACCGTGGACGACTTCCCAGAGGTCGTCGGGATTTGTCACCTGAATGGGGGCGCGGGTGAGCTCGGCCCAAACGTGCTCAATAGGATTGAGATCGGCTCCCCTCCCCGGCCATCCCATGTCCATAACTTGTGGATGTTCTGCTATCCACTTTCTACACACGTTGGCAGTGTGTACGGGAGAGCGGTCGTGCACAAAGAAAAAACTTTCTTCGCCATAGATGGCCCTCACCGTCGGCAACAACACCTGTTCGAGGATTTCGATGTATTGCACGGCGGTGAGGTGACCGTCTATGCGTACCAACTCTCCGGGACCAGCTGAGGTCATCCATCCCCATACACCTGTAAACAGAAAAAAAGTCAATAAAATTGTGATTTAAAAAATGAACAACCAGATAAGTTGCCATGTTCAAATATAATGACATAAATACACGAAAACACAACATTAAAACACTCACCAATCGAAAAACGCCCGCTTCTTTGGGTGCGCCACACATATTCAGGTTTATACCTAGTAGATGGTGGGCGACGCACCCACACAGGCCCGCTGGAATCCGAGGAAAATATTTTCTCGTCGGTAAATATGACCGACGACCAATCATTTGTGGTCCATTGCAGATACTTTTGGGCAAACTCCAGACGATTCAATTGGTTCGCTACTGTTAAATTCTGTTTTACGGCGGCTCTCCGCCCAAACAAATTACCTTCTCGCAACCTATTAATAAAATATATATGTATTATTTTGCTTCTTATGTTTCTTACTATTATACTACAAATGTTACATACCTTTTTCTTACAGTACTCGTCGATACGTTTAAATCAAGCTCCCTTCGGAGTGTTGCCGCCGTCTTAAAAGGGTTATCCCGGCTGTAGGCTAGTAGGCGAGCGTCCTCCGCTTCCGTCGTCTGGCGTTTGCGGCCCTTTGCTTTTCCCGGTGACACGGAACCAGTGTCCCGAAATAATTTTGCAATGCGCTGGATAGTTCTTGTAGAAATTTTTAACATCTCTGCTATTTCGTCTGAACTTCTCCCCTCATTCTGATGTCGTATTATCAGCTGTCGTAGGTCTTCAGATATCGGCTTAGGCATCGTGACTGAATAAATCCAGCACATCACCAAAGGCTTTATATATCAATACTTGTAAACTATTACCTTTTAGCAGAGAGGGAACAAGAAAAGCACGACCTTGTCAATTGGACCCACATGCTGTCGGGTAATATACCACTTGTAAGGTGTTGACTTGTAAACAGAGGAAAACAAAAGAAACGCCGACTTTGTCAATTGCACCCACCTGTTCTCAGACGATAGACCATTTGCCATATGGTAATATCGAAATATATGAATATTTTCATGCGCGCATATTTCGATACTTTTATCGTCCTCACTAAGAACATATAGGCCTACTTTTATCCTAAAAAATTAATTTTTTTGCCAATAAATTATATGCTGTGTTGGAGGGATTGTCAGCTTATTCGTCCCTACCCTGAAAATTAAGCCTTTTGCTATCCTATAATAGTTGAGAACATACAAAGTTTTTTAATAAAATATAATAACTGATGATGCCATCAAATGACTCCGGGAAAGTTATGCAACTCGTTGCTGGATTTTTATTTNATATTTATTAATGTATTCTAATATTTTAAGGACAAATGAATTGCCTTAAAGTTGTTCTTTTTATTAGAGCCTTCATGTATCTGCAGAAATCTGCAATTATCTGATGCTATCTTTGAACTTCTAACACAAACATCTTTCAACTGTAACACTGTGTTGAGTAAAAGCTGTTTACAAAAACCTTTATCAGTGTTGTGTTTGTTACAAATATCCACTAACATTTTCGACATCCACCGAGGTCTTCTTCAGGTGGTGAGTAAGCGTTGTTTCCCTTGACCGTTAGAACGATGCCTCTTTTTATACCTGAGATGTAAATATTGTGTGAATCACGTTTCACCCATCCGCTTGTCCCCGTTTGAATTCTTTGAATAGGTATCTCCACACCTCCACGATCGTCTCTCCGTCTTTAAAGTTGATACAGGTGCCCTCAACATTGGCTTTCTAGATGTCCCAGGCCTCCAGGTGACAAATGTGAGCAATTTGAAATGCCCGTCTGATTAAATTGGCCTGGGAGATCTATAAAGCCAACGTTGGGGGCACCTGTATCAACTTTAAAGACGGAGAGACAATCGCGCAGGCATGGAGATACCTGTTCAAAGAATTCAAACGGGGACAAGCGGATGGGTGAAACGTGATACTTACAATATTTACATTTCAGACAACATTGTTCTAACAGTCAAGGGAGACAATGCTTAGTCAGAACCTGAAGAAGACCTCGGTGGAGGTCGAAAACGTTAGTGGATATTTGTAATGAACACAATACTGATAAAGGTTTTTTGTGGACAGTTAGAACTTCTAATGGATCAAGTAAGTATTTGTAACATATTTTCAAATTTAAATTTTAATATTTAAAGGTATACCAATGATAATAGATTTATAAATGTCTGAAAATATTTATTCTTTAATATAATTTAATTTTTCATAATAATTCATGATGAATCTCAAATAAATATTATTATGTTGGGTTTAGTGGTTATACTCGGTTGACACTGGTGGCTGAGTACTATGCCAGTCCAGAGTCAAGGCATAGCAACCAAAACAAACTAAAATTAAATGTGTGTGTCAGTGTCAGTGTTTGTATTCAGGAATTTCCTAACAATACGGCATGTATTCAGTATAGTGGCCTTCTGTAGTGTGATGTATGTATTTCTATTCAATTGTAATGTTTCCAGGGTTTTGTGTAGTATGTATGGTATCACACCTGTACAGGAGAGAACGACAGGTACAATAAGCACCCTATCATCCTCCACAGATGTGTTATTTCCTGGGCAAGTTCTGTGTACTTGCTAATTTTTTCAGTGCATGTGTTTTGTACATTGTGAGTGTTTGGAATGGATATGTCTATAATGTATGTGATTTTATTGTGTTTGTCAATGAGTGTGATGTCTGGTCTGTTGTGGTAAATTGCTTTATCTGTGATTATGGCTCTGTCGTAGTACATTTTGTGCATGTTGTTTTCCAGTAATGTCTGTGGAATGTATTTGTAGTATGGTTCATGGATGTCTAATAATTTGTGTTTGTTTGCAAGGTCTTGGTGTATTATATTTGCTACTTGATTATGTCTGTGTAAATAATCTGTCTGTGCCAAGAGCTTGCAACCTGAAGTAATGTGTTGTATAGTTTCTGGCACAATGCGACATTTTCTGCATGTGTCATTTGTGAGTGTTGTATCTTTGAGTATGTGTTTTCTGTAGTTTTTAGTATTTATGACAATCATGAATTCTTCCGTCTCCCCAAAGAGGCATTCCCGATCTAACCAGCTGTTTGACGCAGTTTTGTCAACAAAATCCTGGGCCAGGTCGTAAGGATGCTTTTCAGTGTCCATGGAGTGCTTTTCGAGCCCATGATTGCTTGATGGTATCTATGCTTTTTATATGTTGTCATGTCTGTATGATGGGAGTGTAAGTTTAATGGTGTGTTATTTGAGTCTGCTAGAGTTACTGCTTTATGTAACTGTGATGTTTCTTGTTTATTGAATTGAATATTGAAATTGAAATTATTTATTGTTGTAGAAGGCTTTTGCCCGTTACAAGGGCATTTTAATAATGCATATTAACATTTCATTTAATATTATTTTAACAACTTTAGTTTTTTGTATTTATTAGTCTATAGAATTATATTAATATTTTATCACAATTGTCATTTAGTTAGTTATTTAACTTAGTTATATAACATATAAATCGTGTTTAATTAGCTCTATCAAATGTCTTATACATTTCCAACTCATTAGTACATTTAGCCTGTGGCCCAATCTGGAGCCTTTGAAGTTTGTCCTTTTCATTACAATGTTCACATAAAATATGGATTCTAGATAAATTTTTGGTACAGTTTGGACATTTAGATTGGTTGTAGTCTATATATTTACCATTTATATTTATTTCATTTTTATTTAATCATAATCTGTATAAAAAACTTTTTAATGTTAAAAGCTAAAAGTTTCTTGTTTATTGTAGAAAAATTCTCACAGTGACTGTATTTGTTTGTAGTGAAGGTTAACTATGTCGATCAGGCCACGTCCGCCATCTTTACATGGAAGGGTTAATCTTTCTATGGCGGATTTAGGATGATGATGTTTATGCTTAGTAAGCATTGTTCTTGATTTCCTTTCGAGTTGCTCAAGATCTGTGTGAGTCCAATGTATAACTCCAAAAGAGTATGTGAGTACAGGGATGACATATGTGTTTATTGCTTTAACTTTGTGTTTTGCATTCAACTGTGTTTTGAGGATAGCATTTAACCTCCTTTGGTATTCTTTAATTAATCTTTGCTTTATTTGTGTATGTTCTGTTAGTTTGGCATGTTGGAATCCTAAATATTTGTAGAACTCGCTCTCTTCCATGGATTCAATATCTCCATTTCCAAGTGCAAACTTTTCTTTTTTCTATGTGAAGTGTTTTGCATTTGTCTAAGCCAAACTCCATTTGTATATCCTTGGTGTATGAATGTGTGATTTGTAGGAACTGATGAAGTTGTTTTTGTGTGGATGCATAAAGTTTTATGTCGTGCACGTACATGAGATGTGACTGTGTAAAGTGTGTTGTTTTTTCATGTCTGATATTGTAGCCATATTGCATGTTGTTTAACACATTGGATAGTGGGTTCAGGGCTAGGCAGAACCAGAGAGGACTCAAGGAATCTCCTTGAAAAATTGCTTGCCTAATGAATATTTCATTTGTTTGTATGGAAGTGTTACTAACCCTGAGATATAGTGCTGTTCTCCAGTGCTGCATAGTGTTTTGGAAAATGCAATGAGTGGTGAATGTATTTTGAACATGTGTAGATTATGTAGCAGCGAACTGTGTGGAACACTGTCAAATGCTTTTCTGTAGTCTATATATGCCATGTGTATGTTTCTGTATTGTTTGTGTGCTTGCCGTAGAATGACTGAATCTATGAGTAACTGTTCTTTGCATCCCCTGTGATTTCTACTGCAACCTTTTTGTTGTTCTGTAAGAATGTCATGTTCTTCAACATGTTTGTATATTTTGTTTGTGATACAGGATGTCAATAATTTGTAGAGTGTTGGAAGACATGTAATTGGTCTGTATTGTTAGGGGTCTGTAGTGTTGTTGTTTTTAGGTTTCATGTAAATGATGACCTGAGTAAAATTTTGGCATGTCTTTTGGATTGATGATGATGTGTGTTAGATGTTTAGCTAGTTCCTGGTGCAGTGATGTAAACTTTTTGTACCAGAAATTGTGAATGTTGTCTACACTAGGTGTCTTCCAGTTGTGTGTTCTGTTAACTGTGTAGCAGATGTCATGTATGTTTATGTCAGCACAGGGCATAGTTGGTATGTTGTGCAAGTTTCCGTTCTCCTCCTCGATCCAGTCTGCATCAGCATTGTGTGTAACAGCATTGGACCAAAGAGAAGACCAATAAGTTGTGAGTTCTTCTTCTGTTGGTGTGCCACTGTGCTGTGTATCAGTGTTTGTTTTGGTACTGATTTGTCTGTAGAAAAG